GTACATGGCTAAGGCCATCGATAGTATTATGGCTAAGGCCATCGTCGTCAACAAGTCGACCCAGCTCGACTACGACAAACAAGTAATTCGACGACAGTCGAAGTTACGTACATGGCTAAGGCCATCGACAGTATTATGGCTAAGACCATTGTCGTCAATAAATCGACCCAGCTCGACCACTACAAACAAGTAATTTGACGACAGTCGAAGTTACGTACATGGCTAAGGCCATCGACAGTATTATGGCTAAGGCCAATTGGACTTAACAGTCGCCAATCCTGTTCGACTACGACGAAAGGCACTCAACTAACAATTGAAGTGATGTCATTATTAGCTAAAGCCACCACTATTTAGCGTTAAAGCCGCATCCTATTGGCGGATAACACAGACAACGTTCGAGAAACACACTGAAAATCCTACAAATGAGCACCCGCTCTGCGGAGACGAAAAATAAAAGATACAAAAGGAAAAGAATGGCAGCAAAAGTACGGCTTTCATTATCATTCAAAAAATGCATGTTCACCTGACCTTACAAAAGGTCCCATTTACATTCCAAAATACAGCAAAACAAAATATATACAAGTCCTAAGAGGCTTCGCCGCTTCGCCCGTCACCCCCAGCGTGACCGCAATTCTGCTCTTCATCCCCCGCCTGACCGACATCTTGTTCATCACCGCCCCCGGGTTGATAAGTTGCAGAGATCCAAGAGCCGGATTCTAGACGGTTGACGTCTTCGGAGTTATAGCCCGCCCGGTCTGGGGAATCAGAACTATACCCACAAGTTTCACAGGCGACGCGGGCTATGCGCCATTGCTCCTGAACCTCCGCCTCAGTGGCTCGACCCGCAGCTAAGAACTCCTCGAATATGACCAATCTGGCCTCGGCGTATACCCACATATCATGCGCCTCACGATGCGCATCCTCATCAGGCCTTGGTGCAGCAGTCCGCTTAAGGACTTCAATCTCAGCCGCCTTGGCATCGAGTTCGGCGATCAAAGCGGCGACCTTGATCCGCAAATCAGCAGCTTCCGCCGCTACCCCACGGCAAACCTCTAACTCTTCTTCCTTAGACTGGAGAAGAGTCTCTAGCTCAATGTTCCGAGCCAGAGCAGTCATCAGCTGCTCGTCGACCTGCTCCAGCTCGGCCACCCTCCATTTCAATTGGGCCTCCGACTGTTCGAGCCCCTTACGAAACACCCGAAATTCCGGGTCCTGCTTGAGCAGGTCCACCAACGCCCGATGCTTGGTACGGCACCGTTGGTATTTCTTTGCCATCTTGTTGAAAGTGGCTGCCTTCTTGTGCGCCCGCCGCCTCCTCTCCACCTCCAAAATGAGAGTCTAAAAAGGAGAAGAAAAGAGGAAAGGCAGGTCAGTACGCATCACAGTTAGCCTTACGGCATACAGAGAAAACTGAAAGCTACCTGCAAGGCCGCGCCAGCGACCCTCCGTGATAGGTCCCCGTCGCTAACACCCTTCAACATTTCACGCTCAGCGGCCGCACATAACAGGGTCATATCCGCTGCAACCTGCTCGCTGTGTTGCAACAGGTTATACCCTCCTGGATCATAATTCGGCGGTTAAACCTACCCGCCGTCATCTCCACGTGGGCTGGACCCCTCGTCAACCCATCTGCATCTCCACGGGCGGCCTCAGTATCCGCCCTCGCGACATCATCGCCCACTTCTTCAACAGCGGCCGACGAACCGGTCTCCAGAACACGGGCTGGACTGGCATCGGCAACAGCTCTCCTTTGTGGAGCCGACCTCCCAGAACGGATAGCATCGGCCATAAAAATCGGCCTCGATACTTGACGAGGTTCACTTACCCTCTCGTCTTCAATCGCTATCCCCTTGCCCGTTATCAACCGCCGCCTCTTTCTCTCTGGCGGCACCTCACCTTCGGAAGTTTCCTCCGTAAGCCGCGGGGACGGCACTGAAGGAGTCGCTTCACTTGCAGACGCCGCCATAGGCGCAGCCTTCTGCTGAGGAACCTCTGGAGCGCCATCGCCGAACGAGCCGCAGGGTATGTCTTCGCCATCAGAGTCGGTCTCCGCCCTAAGCGAGGCAACAACGGCCTTCTTCTTCCTGGGGGCGCTCCGACCTGCCAACACGAGTAAGTTAGGTAATAGAATCTAAGGGAGTTTCCAAACCAAGGCCGAAGAATTACCTGACGGGCCGTACTGTTGAAGAAATGCATCCCGGATACGGCATTCCTCCGCATAAGGTATTAGTCTTTCCACCCATGATTTAATATCATCAATAAACTGGGGTGGAGAAACCCTCGCTACAAAAAAAAAAAGAGAAAAGAATGAAATCACAATGGCCAAATGATCAAGGTCGCGAACAGTCATGAATCCTGCAAATAAAGGTACTCACGATCTGGGTTCCACCATTCCGGGAATCCTTCAGGCTTAGACACCAGGCGCTCCATCCTGATGTAGAAGTACCTACGCCAGAAGAGGCGGTTGGCCTTGTCGTCAGCCCTAACTACCAAACCCTTCGTACCACGGCTTTTCAATTGCAACATGGTACCCCTCAGGTAACCAGGGCTGAATAACTGTAAGAGATGGTGAACTGAGACGCCGCACTCAGCCTTAGCCGTGTACGTGGTCAGAATCCTGCACACCTTCAAGGTGTAAGGAGTAAGCTGAGCCGGGCACACATTGTAAAAGCGGCAAAGCTCCTCCGCTAGAGGGAAGATCGGGAGACTATAGCCGATCAAAAACGGGTACTCGTAAAATGTGCAGTACCCAGGCCTGTGCACATTGGCGTAGTCCATCCCAGCCGGAGCCATTTCCACATGGTCCGGAATGTTGTGTGTCACTCGAAGGTCGTCTAGATGAGATTGCAGTAAATCGCTACACTCCCAGGGAAGGGCTGGACTTTTCGTTTGAAAATCCCTTCGAATATGCATGTCCTTTGGGAGGACGTTGTCTACAGAAAGGGGAACGAGGGTCTTTTTTACTTCCTCCCCCTCACCGCCAGAGGAAGGCGGAACCCTAGATGGGTCAGTGTCCTTGGTCTTTTTACCACCATGAGTACGTTTTACCATGATGATTCTGTTTGGGAAATAATGCACTAATGACGAGAAATATGACTTCAAAAGAAGTGGAGGAATCCCACACGAAATAACGGTTACACGAAAGAAAGACAAAGGAGTAAATCAGAAAATGCTTTCCGAAGGTTTGAAAGTTGAATCAAATCGAACCTCTATCCTATTTATAGGGATAAGTTGCGCAGAGATCGAAGAGTCATGATTCAAAACGTGCGCGGGAAACCAAAATGTCACATCATCCTCTGAACCGCCTCGGGGGCAAATATAATAATGACGCATACAGGCGATGACGTCATTCCAAAAAGAAAGCCACGCGTCAGTGGCTCAACAACGTCACACATTTTACCTCATTCATGTTGCCGCCCCTGGTCGAGGTCAAATTCTCCTAAGCCGAGGTTTGCATTTCCGCCTATTGAAGACGCCCACCGAATGCGTCTCCAACGAGCGGAGGGACTAACTGTATAGGGTCAAATTTGACCGTCAGCGTCTCTACGCCAATGGGTACGCCCAGTGAGTATACGCCAACTAACGTAAGGGTACGACTCGGACGTGGGGACAAAAGCGACATCGTTTAGGACTCAGTGTCTTCACTAGGAAAATGTTACCTGTTTTTGTAACTTTTTGATTATTTCGGGGAAGGTCTCTTATTATATAAGGGAGACCTTCACATTGTAAAAAGGGGGGATGATTCTGGAATAATACAACTCTCTCATTTTCTCATACTCTCTCTCTATCGCTATCTCTAACGAATACTTTCTCTTGGGTTCATATTATCACTATTAGATCTACAACAACAACTTCATTTTTCATCTCTAGGTCTATTATATTTGATTACGATTTACCCTTTCTTACTTTTGATTGTTTTTAAGCTTGCAAAGTATATCGATAACTTTTGAGCCAAACAACATGTTCTTTAAATAGAACTATTCAACAAATATATGAAAGAAACTGTTGGTATGGTAGGGCACCAATAGAACTGTAAAAAAATGGGAAGATAGAAATTGAATGGACGATATCACATGCAAATGGGAGGAACTCACGGACTAAGGTATATAAGTTGATATTTGCTGGAATCATCTACCACATATGACAGGAACTGAGGTTGGGCCTTCAGTCCAACACAAGTTTCAATTATATTTGTAAAATGAGCACGGGATAGCCTGTTAGCAGACTGGTCATTCAAAAACAGCCAATATTTGTAAAGTCATTGAAAAATAGCCATTATTTTGCTGCAACACGGAAAGTTCCAGCATAATATACTGGAGATCGGTGCACCTGTCTAGAAACTTCCAGCATATTATGCCGGAACTCCAACACGCGGAATGATCCAGTATAATATACTGGAGATTGAAGCACCGGTACTCCAATATCCAGTATATTATTATAGACCGGTATATTTTCCGAATTTTGAACAGTATTTTCGTTCAAATTTATCTTTACATGAAATGTGGCTAAATTTCGATTACTTTTGAAACTGTGGCTATTTTTGAATGACCACTTATAAATCTGGCTATTTTTGAATTTCTCCCATTTTGTTTGTACATTCTTTTTCCCTTGGTAAATAATATACTTACTAACCAAAAAAAAATTGGTCACCATTAAATTTTCACGAATTAAATGAAGAAAAAACAACACACTACAAAAAAAATGCTAAATTTGCGAAGGTTTTATTTACATATTGCGGCAGTCAATAACCCCCGCAATTTTCTGTTCCGACAGTTTCCAAAACCCCCGCAATAATGTTCGCCGCAATCAATTTGCGGGGGGGGGNGACCGCCATTATCATATAGCGGCGGGTATTTAGCGTCGGTCTAACCTCCGCAATTTGATAGTTTGACTTTTTGAGAACACACGTATAGAAAAAATAGCGGCAGTCAAAACCCCCCACAATATGTTTATTTAACACCCGCAATTTTAAATACAATATTACTATACATTAAATTGCGTCGGTTATAACCCCCGCTATTCATTGAGAACCATAAAATACATTAAAGTAGATTATCATTAGTCTCAAAAACTTGTTTTAAACACAACTACTCCATCCATTGAACACAAAACATCAGTATTATAATTAGTCTTAAAACAAACTTTAAACAGAACATCTACTCCAACTATTATGGACAAAAGATCTCCTATGACCATTCAATCGAGTACGATACATTTGCAAGCAAACTTCAATGGTTGTCGTTAGGATTACTTCCACCAGATGACCTTCTAACATCCATTGGTGAAATGGATCCGCTAGCCCCATCACTTGACTAAAAAAAATCAAAATAAAACATAATTAACGAAAAGTACCTCAACACATGAATTGAACTTACAGATACGAATACCATCTCCAATCCTTCCCAACCCATGATGTGTTCCATATTCTGCAGGGTAACTTGTTATGTATATATCAACACACAAAATATAAAGATTTTTTACTTCAAAATTTTGTTGGCACCTGAAGCAGAGGTGCATAATATTATATTTAAGATCAATAACATCAGTGCCATTTACATCTCGAGCTAGCAGCAGATGCTCCAAAAGATATCCAAAAAACAAATTCCAGAAAGAGAAAAAAGAAAAGTAACGCATACACTTAAGCAATTAGAAATCAAAGCTATAATTTCAAACATTTCAGATTTTCTTCTCTTCTCCTCCAGCTATCTATTAGTTATGATTAATTTTGCAGATCTAATAAATAAATAAATAGAAGTATCCCTACTCTAGTAGCTTAAACTCTAGTACCTCAACAATATCCTAAATGCACATTTAATGAGAATGCATGTGTGGATATAAGAGTGAAGAAAGTGAGAAAAAGAGTCAAACACCACATAGCGCAAACGTTTTCAAAATTAAATAAGAAAGTTATGAACTTTTCTTACTGTTGAATGAGGAGAAGAAACAAAGATCCCTGCAAATTCTTTGGGCATCCTCCCTTCTTTCATTATCATATACGCCTTAAAAGCATTCATCATTTGGGTGTTAGCATTCATCATTTGGGCGTTAACATTCATCATTTCTCTGTAGTTCTCTTGGCTTTGATTATGAGCATTCAATATTTGATTGTACTTCTCTTGGCATTGGGAAGAACATGAACCATTATTATAAGTTGAAGCATTCAAATCACTATAACGAGGTCTTGTTTGTCTAAAAGCTCTGTCAGGAACAGCTCCTAATCCTAAGCACCTTACCCTTACAGAGTGCTCTTTTCCCAGCACCTTACCAACAGCATCATTTGGCGAAAATTCAGACTCATCCACGGTGCTCTGGCTCAATGCTAGTTCAATTTTTCCTAAATACATTACACACCAAAAGTAAGTGTCCTACCTTCAATCAGTGATTGATAAGTTATTAAAAAAGAAAAACAAGAGAAGAAGAATATTTAGCTTTTTGAGTATGCAGTTTGGTTGGGCTGTTCGAGTACAATGTCCTAGTGAATTGTCAAATTTGTTTTCAAATCTTATTCATCAGTATAAGGAAATTAGAGTTGCTTTCGTCTTGAAATATTTTTTAGCAGCTATAATGTCTAAAGGGAAAGGTCTTATACACACTTTCTATGTTGCTTTTTGATCTTTCTAAGAACGAGTAGATGAAATATTCAGGAAGACTAGATTAGTATTTCGTGTTGAAACAAATAAGGCATGGCATGGACCTCCTTGCAGAAATAGGCAAAGAAATATCTTTAAATGTAGTTTCCTCTGCATTTTTAGCTTAGCTTAGGTATAGGCAGGTGCTAATAAAAGTAATAAGAACCACAATTCAGAAAGGATGTTTATTGTAAACTTTTATTTCCTTTTCTCTTATTTCACACTTCTTTTTTAGTGTGTCTATTTCTTTCCACTTCTCTGTATCTCTGTGAAGAGATATTTCTATAGACCCCATCACACATGTGAACTCCAAATGTGTTCTGTTTTTATTTCCCAGAAATGCATGTTTAGGAATATAGAGTGTTATAAGATACAGCTTTTTGAGTAACTTTTCCATTCACTCAAACAATTTGTATTACTAGGTACTAAATGATTGCAAATTTGATGGAAGAAATTAAAAACTTACACATATCTCTTTTGCCGCCTCATTAACATATGATCCATCTTCATTCCTATGTGTAGCGAGATAAAGCTGTCCTCGTCCAGGCTTTTGTCTAGTCTCAGCCATCTATAAATGAAAAAGTTGAAGTCGCATTAACTTAACTAACTAAGAATAGTTGCTAGTTTAATTAAAGTGTTCAAAATGAATCAATACCATTCCAGCCCTTCTTCTGGAGTTAGGTTTGGAGCCACCGATATTTAAAACAATTTGTTTCTTCCGAATTTCAGCATTTCTTTTACAAATTTCCTTACAAAAAGATACCACGAATTACACATACTTGCCTATTGTGTACTTGTAAAACCACAATATCATAAGTCCAAACAACATTTACCAGAATACTCAGCTATGGTTAATAACTTCTGTTCAAGACTTTCTGTTCAGTATTTTACTTCTATCAGCTTAAAGAATCCAAACTTCCTAACCCGGATTTTAAAAAAAACACTTTCCTAAACTTAAGCATCAATGCTGTACAAAAACGCATTATACGAAACAACGGTATCAGAAATAAAACCTTTTTACCAAATGATCACACAAAAAAATCACCAAGTGGAAACTACATGTCACCATAATACTCAACTATGGTAAATATCTTCTTTTCGGTATTTTAATGCCCTCAGTTTAAAAATCCAAACTTTAATCTTGATCCAGGTTAAAAATCCAAACTTTGCTTGAACTAAACATCAATACACTACTACACCACAAGTGGAAACCACATTTCACCAGAATAACCAACTATACTCAATACCTTCGGTCATAATTTTATCTTGACCTCAGGTTAAAAATCCAAACTTTGCTTGAACTAAACATCAATGTTGTACAAAAGCGGTAATCAATAAGAGAAGGTATTGGCCATGGTTGAAATGTAGAAGCACTGAAATAAATACCTGTGTCTTTTCTCTAAAGCGGTAATCAACAAAAGAAATCCATTGATCCGGTGGAATTCCCAGTAACTCTGCTCTTAAGTGGATCATAGACCTTATCAAACAACTTTAGTCTTTTTGCGCCCCACTTCTTACACATAGAATTATAAACATATCGTCTTGCATTTGACTCAGTTGTCCGAAAACAAAACCGTGGCTTCAAGGATAAACCAATGGTTAGAAATTATTACATGCAAATATAAAATCTTTATAATTATTGTATGCCTCAGGAATACCTTTATAAATCAATCATAACAACGATTGAAGATTGTCACAGGTAAATCCGGCCATTTCTCAAAGTGAATTGGAAAAATGGAGCAGTCAGTTGCTAAAATTCCACAAAAGCCTGCAAGAACACCTTGTCCTTCACCAATGGGAGAATCCATGTCGTCAAAATCAACCACAATACATTCTCCATTAGATAAATTTAACACGTCCCTTTTCTTCACTTTAAGCATCTTGCTAGCTCCTTGTGAATCTTAAAAGATAAAAACAAAAATCAATATGGTTCTCTATTCTTTGAGGCAACAGATTATTAGGCGTGGCGTAAAATATCTGACCCAGTTAACTTCCTTGGAGGGTTTCTCTCTTCCGTATTGCCAAAAAAACGAAGCCTCATCAATCTAAATTTATGATTTCTTGCCAAAAATCGGAGATGACCAATAAAGCACCACTTTCTACTATGACGAAGTCTACAAGGTTCCGTGTCAAAATTACAAGATGGACATGCAAAACCAGTATGTGTGTTCCAACCAGATAAAATTTAAAGTCTAGGAAAGTCACTAAATGTCCACATAAGAGCTAATCGCATTCTAAACATTTCATTCTTTGATGAATCAAAAGTTTCCACACCTTCACACCACAACTCATTCAACTCCTTAATAAGCGGTTGTAGGTATATATCTATATTATTTTCCGTCGTACGTGGACTTGGAATGATCATTGAGAGGATAAAATTTGGTTGCTTCATACAACCAATGTGGAAGGTTATATGGAACCAAAATCACAGGCCAAATGCTATAATTAGTACTCATCATCCCAAAAGGATTGAAACCATCACTAGCTAGGCCTAATCGAACATTTCTAGGATCAGAAGCAAATTCAGGAAAAGTAGTATCAAATCTCTTCCATGCCTCACCATCTCTGGGATGCCTCGGTATTCCATCTCTGTTACTATCTTTCACATGCCATCTCATATGCTCTACAATTTTATAACACATGAACAATCTCTGCAACCTTGGTTTTAGTAGAAAGTAACGCAAAATTTTTGCGGGCATCTTTTGCTTCTTTTTCTTCTTTCCCGTGGTAGACATGTGATTATTGTTGCTCTTCTTAGTTGGCTTCCATCTAGAAGTATGACAATGCTTGCATGTTTCCTCATTAGCATCATCTCCCCAGTACAACATGCAATCGTTTGGACAAGCATCAATCTTAATGTAATCAAGACAAAGCTTTTTGATGGTATTCTTGGCCTCATAAAAAGAATTAGGTATCCTTGCAAATCTAAATGCATCCTTCAGTAAATCTAGCATCATAGTCATTCCCTTGTCACTTAGCCCACACAAACACTTTATGTGATACAACTTTAACAAAAATTCGAGCTTCGAGTACTTGGACCCTTCGTATAATTCTTCACTTCCATCTCTAAGCAACTCAAAAAATTCTTTGTTATTTGAAGAAGGCAAATCATTTAATATTTCTTCTTCTCCAACTACTTGTGACGGACCTGCATCAATGCCCTCATGTCTTAAATCCGGGAATGCTTCATTTATCAATAATTCCATAGAATTTTCAGGAGGCAGTGCATCTGGGATAACCTCTGTGCTTCTAGAGTTCTCCAACACTTCTGTTTCCCCATGAAGAATCCAAGTGACATAATTTTGAGGGAAGTGCTTGCTAATCAAATGATCATACACTATCTCTCTAGTCTGCCACTTTCCGAAACCACATTTAGAACACGGACATTTTATTCTATCTCCTATAGAAGCATTCTTAAATGCAAAATTTAGAAATTGATTCAAACCAAGTAAATACTTCGTTGTATTTCTAGGCATTCCAATCCAAGATTTATCCATTGGAAGGTATTGATATAACCTTTCAGAAGTGATCAACCAATAAGGATTTCTCTGAGCAAGAGTGTTTACTGTAGCCTACAATATTTTCATGAGAAAGAATAATTTAGTAACCTATCAACGCAATAACATTATAAAATTCGGTAAGATAATAAAAAATGGCACAAGAAAATATTTGTCAAAGAATAAGGTGGAAATCATAAAGTTACCATGATATATATAACATTGAAGGTTCAGAATGTCTAAAGAAAGTGTCATTTTTTACTATCATCTCTCAGTAATAGTACATTGACACAAGCACAAGCACAATCAGAATATCTGATCCTAAGAACTGATAGATTAGATAGACAGTCTAACTACAGAATATCAAGAAAGCTAAAAGCAAATTGTATAATCTACCAACCACAACCAAGCTCTTTAGTAGGCCTGACATCTACTGGGCTCCTATTTATCGCACGTCCAGTTGCCAACAGAAGTTGAAAGTGAAATATTACAAGAAGTAAATGAATGAAGCACATCAGATATATCCATACATATCCACATAGACTATCACCAAATATCTACATAAAGCATCATCCTCAGCAGGGAAGTCAATATCACAACAACCAGGCAGAAACAACTTAAAAATCAGTTTTAACACAACTTGTTAATAGGATCCAAGAATGCAGAACACTAAATCCAGAACAGAGATGAACCTGAGCTAATATTCCTTTGTGTGTATGAACTACTCCTTTTGGTTTCCCTGTTGTACCACTGGTGTACAAAATCAAAGCTGGATCCTCACCTGCAAGGTTGCAAGATTTTTATAATTAAGCCAATTTTGTGTAAATACTGCGTATATACAATTAATGTTAGTGTACAAAACTCCAACTCGAAGCCTCATTCTCCATTTACTGTGCTCAGATCATGTACCAAGATTCGTGTCTTAATTTTGGGCTTAAAGAAGTTGAATCCGGAGAAATCGAGTATTCACGATTCTACTACGGCCATGGCAGAGCATAAAAACAGACACAGAGCAAGCGAATCACGGTATAACACAAGGTGAAGGATGTTCCAGTTAGCTCTATGTAGTTAAGTAATAACAGTTTAAGAAGCAAACTGTAGAAAGAGAAAGAGACGGGATTCGAAAGAGCTGATGTGCCCAAAACTAAGTTATTAAGCTCGCCCAGAAAATCATCCCACTGAGTTGAGGCATATTAATTTCATTCAGCTCAGGAACCGTTGGAATTATTTCTGAACACACCATTCTGCTCTTTTAATAAGTCCTCAAAATACACAAAAATCAAAATTAACCTAATGCAAAAGGAGAAAGAGGACTTACATCTCGATTTCAACAAATAGTGTTATATCCTTCTTCAAAATACACCGATTCTACCAAATTTCTGCTACTTTCGGTTGAGAATCGAAAAACATCAAATGAAAGAAAGAAAAAATCAGTAAAGGAAAAACACAAATTAACATAGAAAATAAACTTAAAACCCACATGCATGAAGAAAGAAAGACAAAAAAGCAAAATCAAAGAATGGGAAAGAGCAAAATCAAACAAACTTACATCCAATTGATAAATAGATCTGAAGTTTTCTTTTCCAATCTTGATGAGCTGTGAAGATTTTTGTTTTGCTAAATGCAATTGTTGTTTGCCGGCTGAATTTAAATCAAAGGCAGCGTATAAATTGAGTATACAGCCTGTGGAGGACCATTGTCTATATACAGCATATAAAGAAGATTTCGTTGAGAGATTCTGAAGATTTAAATTTCGTTGAGACGGATTATTGTGAAAGGGTTTGGTTGAGAGATGGGAAAATGAAAGGGCTTCCAAGTAGAAAGAATTATAGCCCATGTCACTTGGCCTAATAGCCCAATCCAAGATGGCCCACATTTGAAGCTCTTACCCTATTTAGCCCATGTTGTACATAACTTGAAAAAACTTTTTAGCCTTTAGCCCACTATTAAAGACATACTTTTAGGGTTTTTATTATTTTCTTCTTTCTTCATTCCCTTCTCTCTCTCACAGCCTCTCACTTATTTCTTTTTAACCCACATAAATCTCTTTTTTCCTTTTCACTCGATTTCAGTTTTTTGAAGATTTACAACTACCACCACCGCCACGACCTACATACGCGATTGCCCTAGAAATCTCACACACTTACTTTGTTGAATATGCATCAGATCTTAATGCTTCGCTGGATTTTTTACCGGGGACAATTTCCCCTATCCCATCGTTTTGTAGGTTTGAAAAGGATTGGGATGAGGAAGAGGAGCTTCGTAGCAGTGCACGCAGTGTGAGTCCTACTGATTACCAGAATGATCCATATCATGACTACTCTGGTGATGTTCTCGAGTATATCTTCGCGTTAAGGGAATATGCTGGCGAAAGTGGAATTTGTCCAACTAAGCCACCCATTGCGGTAGATGTACCAAGAGGACTTGTGGAAGTTAAACCCTCTACCCCCCCCCCCCCCCCACGTAGTTCTGCTATTAATGGCTCGAAGAAGGCTCGAAGAAAGATTCCGTCGTCCATGGTGGCAAGCAGAAGAATGAAGAAGATTTTTGATAGAAACATGAAAATACACACAGATCTGAAAATAAATAGCTCTCAAACTTGATTTGCACCAAAAAATAACCACTAATGTTGGAAGATTTTGAAGTTTGAAGTTCTGGTCATTATTATTATGACCTTGAAGTCTCGAATCTGAAATTGGGTTTGGATAAAAATCATAACTATGCAGCAGTTTGTATCAACACTGTATACTAGTGTATAATTGTGTATATGGATATACAAACACCTCTTATACACTATTATACATGTTTATACAAAGTTATATAGTATTGTATAAATGTGTATATTTGTGTATAATTATATATTTTTCAGTTTATAAGGATGTATATACATTGTTAGTGTGTAAGAGGCATCTACAGAAGTTTGACACTTCCTTCTCTTCTTCTTTTTCGTGTAATGTGTTGTATGAGCATTGGAGGGATTCTACAATTCATCTACCAAGTTTTTATTTTTCTTTTATCCTGTTAGATTGCTTCAGCAATTGCACATAAAAGTGTTTGAATTTCTTACCTTCAAATAATATGTATTATTCAGGATTTTTGAGTTGCGTTGTGGCTGATTTGTATTTTTTTATCAAATGCTCAATAATCAAAGGAAATCAACAGAATGAAAACAACTGGTTGTATACAGAGGGAGCAAAATAAGCTGTCTTTCGGGAATTAGCCTATTATTTTTTGGGCTATAGATTTGCAAAGTGATATCTAGGCTATTATGTTGCAAGTCAGGTGTGTGAGTTGTATTTATGTGAAATTAGAGAGGGGTAGCTGAAAAATGAGAAAGGGATGGGAAAAAAAAAAGAGGGAATGGTCTAAAAAACGAGGGAAACATTGGGGTTAGTGGGCGCTATTTTTTTTTTTAGGATTGGGGAAGTTTAAAACCGCTGTAAATTTAATATATTTGTGTGTGGGGGGGGGGGTGTAAATAAATTGAACTTCGACAAAGCCCAAAGTAGACCTTTCAATAGGGACTTTTTCGTATATATACAAAATTTTAAACTTATTTACCTAATTTATGTAATTTTTCCTATTTACAGAAAGTAACTAATATTTTTTATAAAATATATACAAATTCGATCAAAATCTATAATTTATCTACAATTTATATGCAACTTGAATACAAATATTTTGTACAAAATCCAGTCAAAAACTACAATTTACATATAATTTATATACAACTTTTATACAGTTATGTTAGTTGTATATATTTTATACGCAGTTTCTATACCCGACATACAAAATATATGCCTATCAAGTTTCAATTTGAAATTCTAACCAAAACCGCCTGAAAATTTTCTCAAAATCGAGATATAAATTCCAAAGTATATTCCCAATCATTTGCAACAACACTCAATCCAAAAAAATAACAATTTTGAACAATTCAATTTTCGAATTCAAAGTTTCGAAACTTTTTAATGACTACAATAGAGTTTAGACTCATGTCTTCAATTTCGTTGGCCCTTAAACTAAGTTGGCATCCAAATGAGCAGAATCTAGTAGTCTAACTTTCAGCTTTAGATAATAGTTATCATATAGCAATCATCATTCAAATTTGAATAGGAATTGGTGTTGTTGGCAGGCATATTAATGGAATCAAAACCATAATAAGTTAATAACCACGACTTTTGTTTCAGGTAATCTCAGTTCTGTATGATTGGTTTAATGATTTTTATGCAACGTCTTCTTTTCTTTCCGAATGAACATTTGCCAATCAACACTAATTATAGATTAACAATGTCAGTCACATGATCTGGTTATCCTTTGAGAAGTAGGCTAAAGGAAGATTGGAGTCTAATACATTTTTACGTATATAAATAATAAATTGTATATCAGCTTCTAATTAAGTTAAAACTTTAATAGTAAAAATAAATAAATTTTGAAAATATTATAAATATGTAAAAATCTCTTTCCAGTTTCACCAGTAGAAGCCAATACTATTTGCAACTTAATCTTTTACCTTACTTTTTTACGTCTTATTCAATTTCTTTTCTAATTTGTTCGGAAAGGTACACTTGGGGTAAATGACAGGAGAAAGAAAGGAATGATGGGATTGAACCTTGCCCCAACATATTACCCCAGGAAATAAGGTATTTACATGTTTAGCCGTAAAAAAAATACAGTTAAATTTGTATACGTGATTTACAAATACGTAGATTAAGTTGATCTGATTAGTAAATAACGAAGAATAGAGGAAATAAAACAAAGATAATTTAGAAATGAACAAGCCTGAAATTTAGATTGATTCCACCAAATCAAGGATAATTGGAAAACATTGACATTAGCCTTGTATAAAACTTAAGAAAATGAAAGAAAGAGAGATAGCTTTTGTGATTCTAGTATTCTGTGTCCTAACAATATTTACAAATATTGCTATTTTGTCACGACCCATAATTCCCACATTTGGGATCGTGATGGCGCCTAACATTTCACTTGCTAGGCAAGCCAAAGTTAGAGTAATTCTTTACCAATTTTAACCACTTCGAACAATTTAACCAATTAAACAGAAATGCAATCCAAAATAAAATACGAAATAGCGTAATAATCCAATATCTAGTACAACCCAGATCTGGAGTCACAAGTACACGAGCTTCTAGAGTTTCTACAAACAGGGTTTGAAATAAGTACAACTGTCTCGAATGAAAGGAACAGTAAATAGGGAACGAGGAAGGGGACTTCAAGGTCTACGAACGCCAGCAGATCTACCTCGAGTCTCCAAATGCTAATACGAGCTGATGCACCTCACGTACAGTTGGGACCAGTACCAAATATGCACAAGAAGTGCATAGTGTAGTGAGTACAACCGACCCAATGTACTCTGTAAGTGTCGAGCCTAACCTCGACGAAGTAGTGACGAGGCTATAACAGGACACCCACGTAATTAAACCTGTACAGACGAAAATATACATACAACATAACAACAAATAAAGAATTAACATGTACTGTTGGGAGGGGACATGCGAAAGGGGCACAAGATATGGTAACTACAACAGGGAATGATAACAAGAAACAATCAATAAACCTTCAACCAATAAAATGAATAAACATAATGAATAAAACTACATGGCATCACCCTTCGTGCTTTTACTCTCAATATCTCCATAAAATGATAAATACGGCATGACATCACCCTTCATGCTTTTACTCTAAATTTCATCATGAAACAATAAATACGACACGACATCACCCTTCGTGCTTTAACACTCTCCCTTACCATGTAATAATGAATATATAACAATAGGGAGATAGAATAAGCAAGAACAAACCTTACGTCAATGGTTCCACAATACCAATATCAACTTCAGAAACAATACTCAATTATCATAGATAGCCCATAAATGCGGAAAGAATTATCAATTTAGTAATTAACTAGTCTAAGTCCCACCCGCATGTTTTGACTCAACAGCAAAGCATAAGTACTCATCACCTCACATATACGTTGTACCCAAGACATATAGCAAATAGGCAAACAAATCCTAATCCCTCAAGTCAAGATTAACCACGACACTTACCTCGCTCCAAAAATTAACTCAAAGCTCAACCACGGCTTTACCTTTCTAACAAGCCTCCGAACCAACCAAATATAGCAAATTATCAACCAAATGATTGAAAATAAGCCTTAGGAACTACCCATGAATGCAAAAGATTCAATTTAGGTCATTATTTAAAAGTCAACAAAAGTCAACTCCCGGGCCCGCTTGGTCCAAACCCAAAATTTGGACCAAAATTCGATTACACATTCACCCCCGAGCTCGGTTATATAATTTGCTTAGAAATTCGATCTCAATTTGAGATCTAAATTCCAATTTTACAAAAATCCCTAATTCTATCCAAACCCCCAATTTCTACCATGAAAATCCTAGATTTTAGGTTGAAATCTTATGAAATGCAATGGGTAATTGAAAGAAAATAGGTTAGAATCACTTACCAATGAATTGGGGGAAAAGAGCTCTTGGAAAAATTGCTTCCAGAGTTTCTAGGTTTGAAAATTTGAAAGAATGAGAGAAATCCCGTCTAACTCAGCTTAAGTCCAGGTGCAGATGTCGCAATTGCGACCCGGGGTTCGCAATTGTGAACCCCGTAAATGCGAAAAACCCTTCGCAAATGCGAAGATCTCACACTTCTGCTGGCATTGCAATTGCGATGGTTTGTTCGCATTTGTGAACTTGAACTCCTCCAATTGCGATCATTTTGATCGCAAATGCAAACATTGCTTGCCCAACTCACTTCGCAATTGCGAAGAA